AATTGCAAATTTCGCAAGGCTATATTTTCCGCATTTTACAACATTTCGCAACGAAACTTTGGAATATTACTAATTTTGTGATGTTCTTTCAAGCTGTATTGAAATTTTTGTTGAGATCAAAATTTAGTCTATTACGCAAATGGTCAATTAAGTTGCATTTTTCGCTTCTGTTCCTTGGTTAGGTCTAATCAATGTATACAAATTTCCACTTGATAATTTCCTTTTCTATTATAGTAAGCAGAAGTAGTATTTTGATGTAGTTGTTTTATAAGTAATTAGAGTTTAGAATTGTATTGTTACCATGATTTTTAAAACACACATTATATAGTGTTTTATAGATATACTTGTTCATAAGTAAACTCACTCTATTATCAATATATTTATATATCACCATAGACGTAGTCAATCGAAATATGAAGTGGAAACTTGCGATCAGTAAAAGTGAAAGAGTCGAAAAATGATCTACCTGTGTGAGCTACGACTTGGTGTCCTTTTGGCTTTGCATAACACCGCTTTATTTGGTTTAGGTTTATTTGTGACGTTTGCGAAATGTCTATTTTACAAGTCAAATTTTACGTTTTCCGAAGTATTTGCCGTTTGTCTCAGTTGAAAATAAATATGCTTTGTGATAAGATTGGATCATTATATGCATGAGCAACGACCTTGCGTCATGCGGATCTCAGACAACTGAGTTTCCTGTTGCCTTGACAACGGATACCACCTGTTTTCTGTCAAGCGGTTTGACAGTTGTCATGACAAACCCAGTTTTGTCCATGTTAATAATGTAATTTTGAAGATATGTTCACATTAAGAAAAGTGAAAAGCTTACTGATACGATTCAAACATAATAGCTATGATTTTTCTTTCATTTTCATTTCATTATCAGTGCATGTTAATTGGCATTTCCAGGAAAAAAGTATGTGATAAAATTCTTGGAAGATGGGAGTTCCCCACAACAGGGAACCCACAACACATCCGTTATTTTGAATTTAAAAGCAATACCGTTAAAATCCGTATTTCACACCTTTATGGTTTAGGCTCTGTATTTTCAACCCCTATTCAGAATTGTTTAGCGTATCATTCAGATAATGACTGAAGAAACGAGGTCACCGTGGGCCGTTAAACTTGGATGGTTACTGACATTTGCATTGTACGTCGTACAAGCGTGTATCCTTTTAATCTTAGTGGAGAAACATCACGATATAGGAGCGTTTGCGACCTGTATTGTACTGTTCCTCTTGGTTGCTGTAGCTGTGGTTATCTTCTTCATATTTCTTCGTAAACGGGAATTGTGGTATGCTAGCGAAGATAAAGATATCCGCTTTGTGTGGGCTATTTGGGGCATATATATCGTTGTTTTTACCATCACGGTTGCTGTGATATTTTGTAAAGTTGCCGAGAAGCTCACAAAAGATCAAGATCTTGGTATCAATGCATTGAAAGCCACGCTTTGTATTGCTCCAGTATTGTTAATACTCTTGCTACAACTAATGATTTGTCCATCCTATCGAAAACCTCTCCTATCCCTGTCCATATTCGCCGCGTTGAATATCTTCGACGGGATTGAAATGCTGGAAATCGTCCTGATGCACTACGAAGGACATTTTGAATTGAACACCGCGACAGAAAACTCCATAATTGCCTTCGCCTGTATATGTTTCCTTCTCTCACCGCTGGGTTTGATTCGGAATAAGTTTGAGGCAAATGGAGTGGTAAAAGAAAGGGAAAAAACATCGATGATTCTTGGTCCAATAGAAATAATTGGGACGAACTTACCATTTCTGATCTTACGAGCTGTCGTTTGGGGTGTATATAAATACGAAGCTTCTGTATTTATTGCAAAGAATATTGTCTCGTTAGTCGTTGGCTTTGTAGAGTTTTGCATCCATAAGAAATACATTAAATGGGGCGAGGAAAACTAACAGTTAAAGTTACGTGACTGAAGTGTGAACTCGTTATAAAAAGTATTTAGCGAGGGACAATAGTAGATCGTAGTATGCATAATTTTTTAATCCATTCTGCACTCTTTGTTGTAAATGCGGCATGATATCTGATAAAGATTTTAAGCCTAAGTGGTTTTTATGATTGACGCATTTTAAAACGGATGTTTGCACCGTTAAATATAAATTTATCCAATTAAGCGATTTTTTCTACTGACACATCACACAATTAAGCGGATCACATTGAACCTGTATCGTTTCGTGCCTATATAAACGTCTTAAACGACAGTAAAGGACAAACTATAGAAATCGAACCTGCAGTGGCCGTGCGATTCCGGTGCAGTGGAGTGATTCCGATTCCGGTGCAGGTGGTTACCGTTGAGGTGATTATTACGCGATAATCACCTAAGCGATTTAATGACGAATAAATGTGCATTTTTAAATTTTTTTCCAAATAATCACCTATGAAATTATACTAAAACAATTATTCACCTCAGGCTCGGTGATTATCGTGAAT